GACCCATGTTTATAGGAAACTTTTTGTTCGGTATTAAATTATCTTTCAAATGAGATCAAAGTGATTGTAGTTCGCACCGTAGGTTTTGAAATAAACCAGTTAATAAACAATTTCAAATGTACCGAAAAGTGTTTTTTCGACTATTGACGATTATTCGAAAACCTATGGAACGAACTACAATAACTTTGATCTCATTTGAAAGATAATTTAATTCTGTACAACTTTTATTTCGGCACTTTTTGCTAAAAGACGCATACTTTCCCTGATATTTGTAAAAATGTAAAAAATAACCGTGATTTCAGAGGGGGCGCTAACTTAACTTTTTAAAGAAGCATTTTTCGACCCATGGTTATAAAAAAGGAAACTTTTTGTTCGGTATTAAATTATCTTTCAAATGAGATCAAAATGATTGTAGTTCGCTCCATAGGTTTTGAAATAAACCAGTTAATAAACAATTTCAAATGTACCGAAAAGTGTTTTTTCGACTATTGACGGTTATTCGAAAACCTATGGAACAAACTATTTAGAATCTTGCAAAATGTTGAAAGATTTAGCCAGGAAGATTTATTTTAATTAGAAAGATTCATTTTTAAAAATATAACCAATAGATTTTGAATAAATAATGCCATTTCCAAAATATAATTTGATTAGATTAATCGCGCGTATTCTATTATATTAATTAAAATTCATTCCACTTTCATAAAAAAAAGCGAATTAAAGTACTATAATGCGATTAAGGTACAGTCCTCAGTTTAATCGCTAAATCTGTTAACGTATCTCTGTACAATTCTGCATCTACTGTAGGAGAAAGTCGAATTAGCATGCGGACCGTAGTATATTCCATGCGAAATACGACCCTAATACTTTACTTTCATTTGCGTAGAAATGAATTGTCCGTATCATCAGCCATGCGTTAGGTACGAAGATAAGGCGTAAGCGAGTACCAATTATTGCATTCATTATGACTGGATACTACGGAATACATTGTATTCAAAGATTATCACGTTAATCGCGTTACCACTGATGACAATATGCAAAATATGGCGCGAATATGAGACATAATATTCTTTCGAACACAATTATCATGAAACAATTTTTTAAAAATTTACTGAAAGTATTGGAAGATACAAACTCGCGATAAAACGTTAATATCACATAAAGTTTTCACTAGAAGAAAGCCATAATGTTCGAATCTGTCATATGTAAAAATTGAA